ATCTCCAGCTGCTGCTTTACGGGAGTGAGGAGTTAACCAGGACGGATAAAAGTTTTGGGTCCGAATCTATAGATCATTGCCGGGTTTGGTAATACAACCGACACTAATAGACATCACTGTCGGATTTTTATACCAACCGGCAGTGATGATATCCATCACTTTCGGTCTGTTAGAAAATCCGGCAGTAATAGGTTTTTTCCTTATGAACCGACAATGATGTAACTATCAGTGTTGGTTTTGAAATTCCGGCAGTAACGAGGCCGGCAATGATTGTTTATTCTGTAGTAGTGAGTAGTTGGCTAGATTCTTTCTCGGAGCGCTGTTTGAGGCTCCTCGTAAAAAACAACGCCAGTGTTGTACGGCTCGAAACTCTAATCCTCTTAATGAAAAACGGGTTCAACCCGCTCGCGAAAAAAATCAAGCAGAGCCCCCGCACCGCACCAGCCTTGCTTTTTCTCCGTGCGCAACAGCGACGGACGAGGAGGCGAGGACGCGGGTGGGCCTGTTTGGTATAGCTTATAAGCTGCTTATGGCCAAAATAAGCTGAAATCAACAGCCAAACGCCACGTTTTTCAGCAGGTTATTCTGCCCACGCTTATTCACACAGCTCCTATTTATACTAAAAAACAGAAGCTAGATCAGACCAGCTTATTTTGACTGTCGCTTTTACTCTATTAGTGTAGCTTATCTGGGAAGCGCTTCCTAGATAAGTTGTACGCCATTGAACGCACGCGCACGGTCGCTAAAAAAAGGAAAAGAACGCACGCACGCGGGACTACCTGAAGGGTCTCAACTCGGGGCGTCAAGTGCCATCATCGGCCATGAGCCTGGAGACGGCTAGCTACTCCGAGAGGCGCGGGGCATGGCCTGCGGATGAATCGACGCGATGTTGGCCCTGGCAAGGGGCGGATCTATAGGGGGGGCTAGGGGGCTCCAGCCCCCCCTCCCAGAGCTGGTGCATTCATGGAAATATGGTTAGGGAGAGGGAGAAGAAGAGGTGAAGGAAAGAAGAAAAATAGAGAGAGGAAGAAAAATAGACCAGCCCCCCTTTAATCTAGTTCTGCCTCCGCCACTGGCCCTGGCGAAGGGTGAATGAAGGCGCGCGGCGTGCAGCGAGGGCGGTTGCGCAATGAGAGAGAGGATGGGAAGTAACGTCGCGACGGCACGCCCAAGCAAAGCAGTATCGGCACTCCGGCATGCAGTTCCCATGGTCCATTTGCATCGGTGCCGGTTGGTGACCGGCGAGTCGATCAGATCGTGGGCGTGGCGAGGAAAGGACCAGACCAACATTGTGCATTCGTGCAGCTACCGGTTCAATCTTGCCGTTGCAGTTTCCGATCCCTTGTTTACTGGAGCTGCTGTTCGCAACTTGAAAGGGGAAGAGTGAATTCGATGCTGCTTCTCCTCTGACGCCTCCCCTCGTGCTACTACTGGATAGTGGAAGAATGAGTGGGCTTTCATGGAGCTGTCTGTCGTTGGTTGGTGTGCATTTCAGCGACGAGACTTTGGCTGAGGCTGTGTTAAGTTGGAGGGAAAGTTAGAATTTAGGTACTGTAGCATTTTCGTTTTTATTTGGCAAATCATGTTCAATCATGGACTAATTAGACTCAAAACGTTCGTCTCGCGATTTCCAACCAAACTGTGCAATTAGTTTTTTTTCGTCTACATTTACTGCTCCATACACGTATCGTAAGATTCGATGTGACAGATACTGTAGCTCTTTTTTTAAAGTATTTTTGCAACTAAACACGCGCTGAAAACAAGACCAGTGCATGCGCCGTGTATTCATAGCGTAACTGATCACTCGTCAGCTGGTTTCATTGCAGCACAGCAGCTGCAGCAGAAGCCATGAATGTGCGCTTTCGACCGCCATACTCCCTCGTTTTGTCCTGGACGGAGGGAGTAGACCGCAGGAAAGCCGCAGCCATCTTGATTGCATGTCTTGGAGTGCGGGAGCCCATTAAACGGCCCTGGAAAAGCGCGCAGTTTCGTTGTAGTCAGCACCCATCAGCAGGCCAGCGTATCATCAACATGACATCATGGCGACTGAAGAGGACGTGCGAGTGCGAATGAAGACTACTGGAGCCTGAACTCTCCCAATCTCCCATCTTCAGTTCAGAAACACTTGGCCCGGTTATCTACTAACCCCAGTGATGATCTGTTCTACTGCTAATACAGAAATACAGGAGCACTACTGAAGAAACAAGTGCAGCGTGCAGGAAGGAGGAAGGGGGTCGGGTGCTGACGAGGTGCTTGAACCATCAGGGTTACGTTGTGATCTGAACTGGGATCGGCGAATCCATATAAAAAATGCATTGTTCTGACAAGACACGGTGGCCCCGTGCGCTTCGCTGAAAAAACAAGTCGAAACATTGTTCCGGCTGATTTGTTGGGAGAGAAAAACACTCTTCCATTTGAAAAAACAATCTGAAAAAATAAGCGAACAGGGCCACAGCTGTAAGTGCTTGGAGATGACTTTTAATGAATGCGTTCCTCCTAATATGCTTGCTCACCAACACCAAACTAGTACCTCTCCTGCATTTTGGGCCTCGGTATGTGATGTGAGAATGTTTGAGTTGAGTACCTGAATTGTTCCTGTTCCTGGGCCATCCTCCGTTGGGTTTGGGCCTTCCGTTGTCATGGATTTGTTAGGGAAAAGTCCACGTTACCTTTTTCAACTTTCGCAAAAATCCGTTTTTTTCTTCATAAACTCTAAAACTGAGCAAAACACATCCCTCAATTTTTAAAACCATTCATCTTACCTCCCTGGTCCTGTTATAAGCGGTTTTAAAGGCGGTTTTTTCTTTGTCTTTTTTATTTATTTCGGCTGAATCTTTAAAAAATCATAGTGAATCATAGAAAAATCATAAAATAAAAAATACAATTTTGTTGGACTCCATATGAATAGATCTATACAGTGAACATATAATATGGTATACTTTAGTATAAATTTTTTGTTGTAGCTTTAGATCTATACTTTTCTGTAATTAAATGGAATAATTCATAGCTGTGGTTTCTATGGTCCAATTGTGGTGAAATTTTTATGGTGGACTAATTATTGTATGCTTAAACTGTAGTAAAAATTTTATACTCATTGGATCATGTATAACTTAGTTATAGATTTTATTTAGGTTTATGCTTGTTAAATATAAATAAATCTATAACTAAGTTATACAAGATCCAATGAGTATGAAATTTTTACTACAGTTCAATCATATAATAATTAGCCCACCATAAAAATTTCATCATAATTGGACCATAGAAACTACAGCTATAAATTATTCCAATTAATTACAGAAAAGCATAAATCTAAAGCCACAACAAAAACTTTGTACTAGACATATCGTATTACATGTTCACTGTGCAAATCTACTCATGTGGAGTCCAACAAAATTAGATTTTCTATTTTATAATTTTTCTGTAATTTACTATGATTTTTCAAAGATTTAGCCGAAATAAATAAAAAAGAAAAAGACAAAACCACCTTCAAAACTGCTTATAACGAGGCCAGGGAGGTAAGATGAACGGTTTTAAAAGTTGAGGAGGTGTTTTGGCCAGTTTTGGAGTTCAGTATGGAAAAACGGACTTTCGTGAAAATTGAGGAGGTAGCGTGGACATTTTCCATTTCTTAATCTATGAACATCTGTGCAATTGCCACCGGATCAGCACGGCGATGTGCAGACTCCAGGGCTGATTCAGGGATGAATTTCAGCGCAACCGGCATTCATGTAACTAAGACGAAATTCATCACAGAATCCACGCGTCAAATCATTCAAACGTTAAATTGTACTGCTATTTTGCTTTGATTTTGATTCCAAGACCATGTGTGAACACAAGTACGGACGTGCCATTCGTTCAAATGGAAAAATATGTGTATTCTGCTACGACCACAGCTGACCATGGACTGGAACAGCGATGTGCAGATTTCTGGTACATGTGTGCAAATTTCTTTGTTGATTCAAGGAAATTCTACAAAGCATTTAAAATTATATGTTTCAGTGTTCATTAATAATACATAAACACAAGAAACTCGGTCCAAGAAAATTCTACAAAGCAGATATAAAATATATATGTTTCTAACGTTGATTATCCAGGACACAAAGCTCAGTCCAAGTCCAACAAGATTACAAGAGGGAGCAGTGGGCCAATTTCTTACGATGCACAAATTTAGTCCAACTGAACAAAGCCTAAATCTTTCCCTAAAACCAGATTTAGCTATTTACCGGCCAAAAACCTCTCCAACAGGCTTTCCATCGGCCTCTCCAGTTTTCCATATTTTGTATCCCGTGACTTCGGCTCTGAAGAAAAGGCGAGCTACGCTCGCTAGCCATGTCGGTTCGCATGCAGCCTCCTGCGCGTGCTCATCCGGTCCTCCCCTTGTACAGGTCACAGTGTAGCCTAGTCATGCTCAAACCATTGGCTGCCGATCGAACAAAAAAGCATGAGCTTGAACAGGAAAGCAAGAAAATATTCGGTTAATTAGTGCTGACGTGGGGACTTTTAAAATAGGAAGGCAAATTTAAAGACTCTGTTGTGGACGATATCTATTCTGAGTGTCTAAATAGATTTAGAGAGCCATTTTAGAGATTCAAATTTACATAAGCTCCTGGAGTTGCTCTTATGAACAATGCCCAAGGGCGATTTCCGTGTGAAGTGTAAACCATACTTGAGGCAATTGAGTGAGAAGAACTAGAGATCAAAAAAAAATTGAGTGAGAAGAACTAGGCAACATGAAGAACAGCAGAAAATAAAAAGAATACAGCAAATTATTTGACAATCTTTTTTATAAATTCTTTGAATCACCCGATGCATGAACAAAATCCAAACGACCCTGAATACTAGAGAGTACTGATCAGATATATTTTCATCAGATCATAGAAGAACGGACATCCTACTGCAAGATCAGACAGGCATTGCAACCCGGAAACCAACATTAGATCCAGTAGTATATTAGCCTATACATAGCGCTACTAGATGTTAGTAGTAGCAAGCCGAATCGCCTAGCACCCAACGGGGTAACCCATGACGGCACCAGCCGGCGCGGCGGGCTTCTCCTGCTCCACGGCGGCGGCACCACAGCACGAACCACTCCCGCTCGGGCCGGCGGCGTCCACGGCCTTCTTCCCGGCGGCCGGCGGCGGGAACATCGCCTTCCCTTCCGCCGCCGGAAGCGGCGCGACACCGTCGAGCCTCTTGACGGTGATGTTGACGATGCCGTTCCGGCGCTGCAGCATCCCGCGTGCGGCGGAGCCGAACAGCCGGTAGCTGAGGCAATGCAGGTGGCCCGGGGGCCCGACGGTGAAGTCCTCGACGGGGACGCGCGCCGCCGCCACGGGCTCCGACATTCCCCCGGCGTGGGCGCGGCAGATCTCGACGTCCAGCCAGCGCGCGCCCGCGGGCAGCGCCACGCGCACCGCCTCGTCCCAGTACGGGTAGCCGTGGCAGTCGGGGTCCTGGTCGACGCGGGTGGGCGTGGAGGACGACGGCGTGTGGACCACGGCGTAGGCGCCGTGGCACAGGGGCCGCCCCGACGGGACCCGGACGTCCTCCCCGTTGACGACCTTCACCTCGAGGGTCATCGGCGGCATTGTCGTCGCCGCCGCCGCCTTGTGCGACATGATGACTGCGGCGGACTGGATCGCTGTTTGGGTGGTGACTCGATCGATCTACGGGGAACAACACGAAGTAGTCGACTAGTCGGGGCGATTTATATGGAGGGGGAGGGAACGGACGGAGCCAAGGAGGCGCTGGTCGATTCGGGCCCGCCGCTTCGACACGCGTTGGGGACTTGGGGTTGGTTCCCACTTCCCACTCCGAAGCTTCGTTCGTACCACGGCGTTATTGCACGGATGGATCAATTTCCTTTGCGACACGACAGATTCAGATACGACGATGCCCAATTGCACGGTCGTGGAAGTTTCCGCAGCGCTCGTTTAAATAGCACATCCAATGTTGATAATAGTCAAGGGCACGTATAACCCACGGCTGTCTGCACGATAATGTCACAGCATATATAGACAGCTAAATAGATAGCACATATAATGGGTTGTCTGTTAATTCTTTAATGTCTGTACGTAGCCATGATCAAGTGTAAATATGATTCATGTATACCATTGTATTGCTCGTTGATAAAAAAAAGATCAGACATAAATAAGGTGATCATGGTTACAATATTTTTTAAAACCATGAATATAGTAATATACTTATATATATAATATAAACTTTTCTGATCCTAAAGCAAAAGTAAAGTTTGAGAGTATTTTTATATTAGTGAACTTGATAAAAAGTTTGTTGATCAAATACGAACAAGAGTATTTTTTTTATTTGAGAGTCCACAAGCATTTAAATTTGACGATGGGATGGCACTGCAACCAGCAGGCGTGCAACCGAAGATTATCAGTGGATTTTAGCTTGTCATGGCTCGGAACACCATTCACTGTGCACACTGGATCTGTACAACGAGAGCATGAGAGATGATATCACGTCGGAGCACGAGCCACAGCCGACGCCTTGTCAGCCGACGGCTAGCCGGGTTCAGTTTCACCCTAAATTCCCAAAAAGTACTAAAGTACTTGTCACATCAAATGTTTGCGACCCGTGTATGGAGCATTAAATGTAGACGAAAAAAAACTAATTGCACAGTTTGGCAAGAAATTGCGAGACGAACGTTTTGAGCCTAATTAGTCCATGATTGAACACTAATTATCAAATAAAAATAAAAGTGCTACAGTAATCCTAAATTTCAACTTTCTGAAACTAAACACGCGCTTAATCAGGCAAATTTGCATCGTTTAGTGCGAACGTGCGTTCTACGTGCCCTAACGGATAATTGCGTCTCAAGTCGATTCTCGTGTCAGATCACTTACCCAATCTCGTACGCGCAGTTGCCTCGAGCGTGCATGGAAATCATAAAAATAAGACCGCATAGCAGTGCTTGGCACGTGTACTACAAAAAAAAAGGTACGAAAAATCTACACGGTATGTATAAAGGGGTGTTTGGTTGCCTCCTCCTAAATTTTAGTCGCTGTCTCATTTAATGTTTGACATATGTATGGAATATTAAATATAGACTAATTATGAAACTAATTGCATAGTTTGCGACTAATTTACGAGACGAATCTTTTAAGCCTGATTAGTCAATGATTTGACAATATTTTGCTACACTAAACATGTGCTAATGACGGATTAATTAGGCTTAAAAAATCGTCTCGTGGAGTACTGACGGATTATGTAATTTGTTTTTTTATTAGTATCCGAACACCCCATGCAACATCCTCCCGACACACCTCCTAAATTTTAGTAGCTGGATCGAAACACCCACTATCTATCGAGAGCCGTAAGGTTTATCACGCGGGTCAAAATCAACACAACACGTCAACCATCAGGGCCGTGCCGTCAAAATTCGAGGCCTTGTTCCAAACTCTAAAAGAGGCCTTAAAAATAAAATGATATATGCATACATAGCAATGCGATAAATAAAAAATCATACATATTTATTTTGTGATTGCATAATTTTTATTTGAACACAATATCATTCTCTTAGTGTTCTTTAAATTATTTAACAGAATTAAAATAAAAGACTTGTTTTCACTTGTTGAGTAGTAATTTGTGATCCTCGCAAAAAAAAGAGAGTAGTACTTTGTGTTTTTTATCGGATGTGAGTGTATGCACCATTGACCGTTTTGCGCAATACAACAGTTCTACATCTACTTATAGCGACGAGTAATTATTCATTAACATAAAGAAATATTTGTATCGATAAATATAAGATAATTAGTCAATTAGATAATTACCTTCCGCGATTTTAGGTCTTTAGGAATCAGGAATTTACCCCTTGTGACCTACACCTGGGCGCTGGCCTCCAGACCTTCATCTGGCTTGCAGCTTGCTTGATCACGGAGATGGAGAGACAGTGAAGCCAGAATGGGAGAGCCGGGGAGACGGATTGCTGTAGATGGATGCCATGCGCCGGCTTTCTTGATCATGAAGACGGGAGACACGGGGAAGCCAGGATGGGACTACGGGATAGCTAGGGAGATAGATCGACGTAGATCGATTCAGGTAGCGCGATATAGGAAGAGACTCAGTATCACGAGTAATCTAAAAGTCAGTAGGGCTTAATGCGCCATAATTTTGGGGGCCTCTTGGAATTTGGGGCCCTGTACGAACGCACGGCTTGCACACCCGCCGACACGGCCCTGTCAACCATTCCCGTGAACCCATGACTTCACGCTGTCATGCACAAAATTGAGAACCCTCCAGTATGGCGGCGGTATGGCTTTTTGTTTAGAACCCTAGCGGCCAGGCCAGCTATCATTTGCGGCTCTTCCTAAGTACTAGTACATGCTACAAGGCCCTAGAGACTCTCGCGACAGTGCTAGCCCGTGCTGCATTCCCGTTTCCCACCCTCGGGCCAGCACACCCCTGCCCGAGCCTGCATTTCGCACGTCCACGTAGGGCCCGTGCCGGACAATGACCGCGCGCAGGGACCGCTCGCGCCTTCTCCACTTCTCACGCGTATTGGAACATGTGCAACGTCCGATCTACTTTTGCGATATCCAGATGAAACACTTACAACATACGTCTGAAAAAGTTAAACACACTAGCAACATACGTCTGAAACACTTGCAAAACACTAGAAAAAACTTGAAAACACGTGTGTAGCCATTGCAAACATATGCAAACATAAAGTTAAAACAGTTGCAACATACATAGGAAAACATCGGAAACACTTGTACATATATGCAACGTCCCGATCTAGTTTTACAACATCCAAATGAAACGCTTGCAACATATATCTAAAACAGAAGAAACATTTAGAACATCCACTTAGAACATACGTGTATAGCCCATTGCATCATGTGCAGCATCCCTATCTATTTTTGCAACATCCTTATGAAACACTTGCAACATACCTCTAAAACATCTGAAAACATTTGAAAATGTACACTTGCAACATGCATCGTATCTCGGTGTGCCCTCCTCCGTCGTCTGCATCGGGGCGCCGCAGCCGTAGCAGGAGGCGAGGCTGGAGGGCTTCCACGCCAGGGGCCGACACTTCTCCTTGCGCAGCGGCCTCAGTGGCTAGCTAGCGGCCAAGGGGTGGTTGCCTTGCGTGGCGCGGCGGTGCCCGCGCTGTCAGGTGAGAAGTGGGTCGTAGAGTAGAAGCAGCAACAGGAACCAGCAGAGCGCCGCGGTGGAGCATGGGAAGGAGCACCGTGGGGTCACCATCGATGACGGAGCAGGCCACAGAGCAGGAGCAACAGGGCGAGCGATGGAGCAGGAGCAGGCGAGGTCACCGTCGATGTGCAGAGCAAAGAGAAGAAGGTCTCTCATCTCCTTCTCCTTTCCTTATCCAACCGGCGCAACGGAAGAGGCGGACACAAATACCATAATAAAAAATGAGCGGCATAGAGCAGAGGCTTATTGGGCTAGTATGTAGGTCCACGAAGGGGCATCTGGATGGATGAACGCCCTATACGTAGCATTTCCATTCGCTTAGGGTGTGTTTGATATCATGGCTGAAGGCCACTTGTTTGGTTGCCTATACCAGACGGACCTGGTCCAGTAGAAATTGTGTTTGGTACAATGTATAGATGGATATGGTCACCTCACATTTGGAATATGGTGGCGTTACCTCCGCTCTCTCTCTTGTTGGTATTTTGTGGCAGAACCGTCTAATCTAATACCTCCTAGGAGTACTTGTCTTCCATTAGACACTAAGTACTCAAGGGAGGGCACCAAATTACGCAGTTCCGTCGAGCACACCCCTGGGGAGAACTCGAAAATCCACATTTTTCCATCAGGATCACAAATGAGACAATAAAGCTTACATCATTCTTAACCATTTCTTACATCGCTTTTTATGCAGCATCAGAGTATTATTGATTTTATAATAGCGGAATATGAACATGTTATTAGAGTTATGAACAATTTAATTTAACAGCGGAATATAAACATGTGAACAGAGTTAAAGTGGAATTAAACATCTATTTATGACGTGATGAAGCATTGATATATAAACTAAGACAACAGATTATAAAGCTTTCATTTAGAAAAACATTTAGTGAGGGTTATAGATAAAAACTACGATCGCAGCGTAAACGAATCCTCGCTGAGCCCACCAGGAGGAATCCACACACAAGAGTCATCTCTAGCATCCGCCTGTTACCTGCAATAGGGGGAAATAAAACCTTGAGTACTCAATTGTACTCCGGAAGACTTACCTGATAGGAGAAATAAAAGACTCTAAGGATATGCAAGGCTATCTGGCTTGTGGGTTTATTGCATCTGCAGGAAACATTACTAAGCGTGTGTCCTTATATTCGATTTTTATTAGTAGTGCATTAGTTCATTAACTAACCATTCTATGTAAACACCTATGCTACTTTCAAGCAGGTGGTAAGCAATCAGATTTTCTTTTATCATCTTTCATCTTTCAGTTCTTACTATGGTGCTAGATCGTTGACAAGCCGTACCGAATTGCCCGACGATTCGAGAATCAATGCCCCCAGCTGGATATCCTAAAAATACATGCCCCGCTTGTACCTCAGGCACAAGCAGGACCAACCCACTACCCTCCTATCACGGAATCCAGGTCCCCGTCCATACTAGGATT